TCGTTATGTTCTTTTTCGATGTACCAAGTGGGTATTCTAGAGTTTGAATGAAATGTTTAATATCATAATACCAAGGTTTATCATCTGATCTCACCTATTCTGCAAACACATGGGCTGGTCTATGAGGACGTCTGATTGTAATCTGAGGTACGTTATTCCAATAGTTCACCTTGTACATGAAGGACAAAGTGGCTAAGGCATCTTCCATCTAATTCTCGTCTCGAGGAATGTGAAGGAATTCAACTTTATTGAATAATGGTAACAACCTTCTTGGATAATCTTTATAGGGAGTCAAGCTAGGGTGACGATTCTCCCATTCTCCTTTAATATGATTAATCACTAAAGCTGAATCACAATATACATCAAGAATCTTAATTCTTAAATCCATGGCTTCTTCAAGACCCCATAATACGCGCTTCATACTTCGCCGTGTTATTGGTATAATCAAACATCAACCTTATAGTAAAAGGGATGTGGGAACCATGGGTAGTGATAATCATAACACCAATTCCTTTACCATAAGAATTCACAACTCCATGATACACCAAACCCCATCGGGATTCAGGAAAAGGTTCATCACAATCTTTAACTTTCAATTACATCACATCCTCATCAGGGAAATCAAACTTGACGGACTGATAATCATCCACTGGTTGGTGGGAAAGGTACTCTGCCAACACAATGCCTTTAATAGCCTTCTTAGTACGATATTTAATATCATATTCAGACAATAACATCTGCTAACGCGAAATTCTTATGTTAAGAGCAGGATTTTAAAAGATATACTTAATTAGATCCATTTTGGATATCAACCAAGTAGTATGATTCAACATATATTGCCGCAGACGCTTCGCAGCCCAGGCCAAAGTACAACACGTCTTTTCTAGCAAAGAATATCGTAACTCACAGTTAGTGAACTTCTTGATCAAATAATAGAGGGCATATTATCTTCTACATGTTGCATCTTGTTATCCAAAAATACAACCCATGGAACTATCCAACACAGTCAGATACATAATCAATCGTCTTCCTTCAACAGGAGGGAGAAAGATATGAGGTTAAAGAAGATACTCTTTGATACTATCAAAATCATTCTGGAAATCATTTGTCCATACAAAAACTTGATCTTTATTTAGAAGCTTGAATATTGGCTCACAAGTGGCAGTCATATGAGAAATAAATCTGGAGATATAATTCAAACATCTAAGGAAACTCGTGACTTGCTTTTCAGTTCTTGGTGCAGGAATCTCTTGAATTACCATAACTTTATTAGGATCAACTTTAATACCTCTCTGGATGATAATGAAGCCTAACAACTTTTCAGAGCAGACACCAAAAGTACACTTATATTGATTCAAGCAGAGTCGATACTTCCTCAAACACTGAAACAATTTCAACAAGTCTTCTAAATGTCCTTCCTCAGAATGATATTTGGCGATCATATAATCAATATATACTTTAATTTATTTATGCATCAGATCATGGAATAGGGTTATCATAGCCTTCTGGTGCGTTGCACCAGTGTTCTTCAACCCGAAGGGCATCACTCTGTAACAGAATGTTCCCCAGGGTGTGATAAACGTTGTTTTTTTCATGTCCTCAAGAGCCATCTTAATTTGATTATATCCAGAAAATCCATCCATGAAGGAGAAAACTTTGAATTTTGATGTACTATCTACCAATATATCAATATATGGAAAAGGGAAATCATCTTTCGGACTTGCCTTATTCATGTCTCTATAATCAACGCACATGCGGACTTTTCCATCTTTCTTCAGAATGGGAACAATATTGGCAATCCATCGAGGATACACTAATGTCACAAGGAATCTGACATCAATCTGCTTTAAAACCTCCTCTTTAATCTTAAATTATATGTCAGGGTGAGACCTTCTTAACTTATTCTTGATAGGCGCGCATTCTGGCTTCAGCGGAAAACAATGCTCCACAATATCAATATCCAAACCAGGCATGTCTTGATAGGACCAAACAAAGATATCAGCATACTCTTTTAAAAAATCAATCAACCTTCTCTTCACATCGGAGTGAAGTAGTGCCCCAACTTTAACTTTTTTCAGATCTTCTTCAAAACCCAAATTAATCGTCTCCAACGACTCTTTGTACGGCTGGATGGTATTCTCCTTGCGCTCAAGCAGCCGAGAAACCTCTTCTAATATTTCAGTGAATTCTTCTTCTTCAGCTTTATACATAGGATATTCAAAGTTGGGAGAGGGCATAGGGTAATTGTTTTCAACGGTTTTTTTAACTAATCTGCACATATGATTATGCTTGATATTAGAAACAGATAAATGCAACAAGTGATTATGCAGATTTATTTACAATTATTATTTATTTTGAAATGTTTTTTCTGATTACCATTTTCCAAGAAAATAAAATAAAAACACCATTGAACAACAAAAATGACTTTTATTAAGGATTTTAAAATTCAAAACAAAAGATAAGTAAAGAAAAATTACTTCGATATGTGAATGCGGATGGGAACATCAAAAGTTATCCAATATGAACTTTCATTCCATGCGTCATAAAGCTCAATATTTCCTGCTCTGGCTCATCTTCAATAATAGCATCGACTTCTAGAAGAGTCAGATGGATGTAACACCCACTGTGGAAGATATCTTGATATGGAGAGAAAGCAGACTTTGGCTTCACCACTTCATTTTTATCCTTCTGCGGAGAAAAACCAAGATCGGTCATGTTCTTGTTTTTGGGTAGATCGATAACCTGACCCCACACACTACTAGAACCTTTCTGAACCACCTGTTGTGCATCTTTAAATGAGGTAATAGAATCTTAAATCTTATTTATATTATCAATTGATAAATCTTGGAACTAAGTTCCAACAACAACTTCATCTGCTTCAACAACTCTAAAAGAGGACCAATGTGACACCAACAAATCGTGTTCACCATTCACAATTACTACTTTTCCTTCTCGGACTAATTTCAATTTCTGATGTAAGGTGGATGTAACATCTCCCGCCTCATGAATCCAGGGGTGACCCAATAAACAACTATAGGCTGGAAAGATATCCATGACCTGAAATGTGATCTGAAACATGTGTGGACCTATCCATATTGGTAAGTCCACTTCTCCAATGACAGATTTCCTTGAACCATCGAAAGCTTTCACTAAAATACCTGTGTAGAGCATAGGAGTTCCTTGATAAGAAATATTCAATAGAGTACTCTTTGATGTCACATTTAGAGCAGAACCATTATCTATCAACATATTAGATAAGGTGTCATTTTTGCAATTCAGAGATATATGCAATGCCATATTGTGATTCCTTCCCTCATCAGGTAGTTCATCATCACAAAAACTAAGATTATTGCAAGTCGTGATATTTGCCACAACACCATTAAATTGGTCAATAAACATATCCTATTCAATGAAAGATTGGACCAAGACCTTCATAAGCGACTCCCAATTGTTCCACCCCAAAATTTACCCTCTTGATTTTAGAATTTTTATGGCTTATGTTTCATCATACATATCCATGCATTGTGACGGGATCAAGGTATTCTTATTTTCTAGTTTTCTTCAAAATGTGGAATTTGGTTGTTTCATTAATCATTCCAAGATGGATTTCATATCCTCATTATTTTGATCGTTCAGGCTACCAAGACTTTTCAGGAATCAAGATATCTCACTGATTCTTTGCAATATTTTGATCTTGAAATCTAATGGATTTTGTGCTAGGGTTTTGGATTACTTAAATGTGTAACTTTGATAAGAATTCTTAGAGCATTACCATCTTGAGTTTTATCTCAGTACGCTCAATCACCAACTGAGGTTCATTGGAATTTCTCTTCTCTTATTCCATTTTTTATCTTTCTAGAAGATTCTTCAAAGGCGATAGTTCGTTATTGAGTTTAGTGAGTAAAAAGGATTTTTTTATATGAATTTTCACTAAGAGATCTTATTTGGTTCCTATGATTAAGTAACTTTTGAGATCACTTGTTGGGTCATCTTTTTGAGGATAAAATTTGAAGTTTGTTGTGCAAGAGTGTGTCACTTTTGGGCTTATTAGAGTGCATTACTAGGGTGCATTCTAAAAAAAAAGAGTTATTGGAGGGAAGTTAATTGCTTTGATTGTCTTGCTTAAAATGTTTTGACATTTTATCAAGTTTAGAAATGAGAAGGAATTTGGAGATTTGTTTGTGATTATTATTTCAAAACCATGTCATTATCAATTTCAAGTGCAAACTATACAAAGTCTCATGATTTTCAAGTCCATTCATCATTCATATTTTTTTTCAAGTGCATTATTTCAATTTGTTTTCTTTAAAATTTTATCCAAGATCAATATCATCCCATATATTAATTCAAGCTAATTTACAAGTTTCAAACTTCTTAAACATAATTCATTGTCCATGTTTGCAAGACAAAAGTACATCACATTCATCATTCACAATAACAAGTATCCATCATTTTTTTCTAAGTCAAGTTCTATGATTACAAAGCAAAATCAAGAGGAATTCTTAAACTAGTAAGCCTAATCCTATAGAGATTTTCATGGCTGTTCTTTTGAATCTTCCTCCAAGACTTTTTCTCCTTCGAAGCTTCTCACTTCATAAGATCTTCCAAAAATATCTCCAAGAATGCTTCATGCTAGCCATGGTACCTCCTCTTCATTCTCCATGCCATGACCATCATTTGCTCATGAAACAATAAGAATAAAAATTGTTAGCAAACAATCAAAGAAACTTGAACATGAACACAAGCAAAAGAGTTTTCAAGGAGTTTTCTATTCAAGTTTCATCATTGGGGCTTTAAGTTTGGAATAAGAGAATTAAGGGTGTTTTTCAATCATGATTCAAGCATACATTAAAGCCTCATAAAATCAGAATTTAAATGCTAATCATGGGCAAAATTCTATTGAAAATCTCAAAACCAGTTTTCGTTCACAAAAGAATTCCAACATCATAAAATTAAAAAAGCAAGTCATTTACTGCAAGCTCAGGACATCACCAAAACATTCAGTAAGATAGTAAAATCAGAATAATGTGTACAAGCCCAACAAGCATCACAAGTCCAACATATAGCAAAGGGCAACTCAGAAATCGTAAATTGCAACCTAAATAGCAGTATGTTAAGATATCAGAAAATAACAACAATCACATTTCATAAGGCCCGAGACAGATTTCACTCAAGCATGTTAAATAAATCTCAGCAAACTTACAAAACAACAATCAAGCCCAAAAATATCTCAGCTATAAAAGCCTTTAATGCATAATTTTCGAGGGGGGAATGATACAAAAAAATAAAAGTTGCACAAACAACAACTCAAACCCTAAAGAAAATTGGGTTCATTATTTTCCACAGATCACAAAACCCTTCACAAAAATCAAAAGCCATCAACATTGTTCAGCAAGCTATCAAGCAAGCTAAAAACCTAAAGCATCACCATTTTCCCTCACTCAAAATCCCTTCAAAATACAGAGAAAGAGAAGAGGAAAAGAAGCTTTCGAAAAAGTCAGAATCAGAAAGATATTACCGGGAAGGGCCTCAGCTATTGGTATCCTTTCACGAGCTTGATAAACCCACAACTTCGTTACAGTCATGTCCTCCTCATCATCAGGTATGTGTTGAACAAGTATATCAGTAAAACATGAAGTTGAACCAAAAACAGAGCTGCAAGCCAGTCTTAGAATGGGTCTGACATTCATTTTGTATGTAGCATAACTTGGCTATATATCTTGTAGAGCGTCCCCAACACAAACCGACAACCTACATATTTAAATTAGAAAATTAAAATAGAAAGAAAATTAGACGTGAGGAGGAATTTTCAAAAGGAGATTAAATCAGAAAATATCGTGAAACTTAACAGCTCAGAAATTTATCCAAGGCTTCTCAAGCAAGTTTCACAAACTCAATCCTGACCATTCAATTTCTCTAACCGAAAATCAAAATCAACAACCAAGATGGAATCAAGTTGTAACTAACTTCTGTTGGATTAAAATATCCAGCGTCAATCTTAGGGATTCGAAGGACTTAACATCCCCCCATGGGCGCCTACACAGGTGTGTTAGGTGGGCCAGGTAGGCCCCTTGTTAGATTCTCTATAAGGAAATAGAGTAGCACCTTGGCTACAAGCAATTTCTTTTAGCTCAGTGGTAAGCGCTTGATTGTACAAGTGGTATAAGAGAAAGGTCATGGGTTCGAATCCCCCCGGCTGACACTGGGGGGAGATTGTTGGATTAAAATATCCAGCATCAATCTTAGGGATTCTAAGGGCTTAACATCCCCCCTTGGGCGCCTACCCAGGTGTGTTAGGTGGGCCTTGTAGGCCCCTTGTTAGATTCTCTATAAGGAAATAGAGTAGCACTTTGGCTACAAGAAATTGCTTTTAGCTCAGTGGTAAGCGCTTGATCCTACAACTTCTACTGATAACAGAAATATAAAAAAGGGCAATCACTTTGGATCGTTCTTCATTATTCAATCATTCAGAAGAATCACTGCAAAAAAACTCAAAAAACTCTCTCTCTATTCAATCTTCATCTCTGAAAATCTCTCTCATCTTCATCAATTCTCCGACTGAATCTTCAACCTCCAAAACCTTCATCATTCCCCTTGCAGCTTCATCATTCATCAACATCACCAACATGACTTATACATCAAGAACAACTGCATCAACAAATACTCCACACCCGATTCAACGTCACCTTTTTCAAATTGGTGATATCTGCTGCAACAACATCAACATCATCTTGATTCCCTGCAATCGCATCTTCACAAGATCAATAGCCGAAATCGATTCAGAGATCGAAAAAAGAAGAAGACGTAGGAAGAATTACGAGATTAGACATGTACTAAAATTACTTTCTCGCATTTCAATCTCATCACTCTTGAAGAACCGTCAGTGTTACTCTGGTCGGTAAGCGTTATTTCTCCCTCTATTCCATTTTTACGGCGTGAAGCTTCTTCTTTGGGTTGAGAGCGAGCGGGATGACTGTGGAGGTTAGCGAAGGTGTTTGTTGAGAGTGGAGAAGAAGAGATATCGACAAAGAGTGAGACAAAGGAATCACGAATGGAATAAGGCTGAGTTGAATGAAGGATAATCAGAGAAGGTGATGATTCACAATGGTAAAAGGGGAAAATTTTCTGTGTAGAGCGTTTGGTTTTGCGAAAGGAGGGAGAACGGCGAATCCGCGGTGAGTGAGCGCAAACTTGTGAATGCTAAGGACGCGATTAAGGAGGAAGGTAGAAGTGTAAACTCTCAAATCGGAGAAGGCAGAGGAAGGTCGCTCGCAGCACTGCGATTGAGAGACGTACTAAATCATTGGGGCTTGAATTTTTTGATCAACTGATCAGAGACAGAGATCGTCCAAGATGAACGAGGTTGGGTTCCGTTGTGAGAAGCTTGAGGAATATGAAACGAAGCTCCTCTTTAAACCCTAAAAAATCCCTCTAAACGCATTGTTTTACGAGGCTATTGCATTTTATTGTTGTTTTACTTATTTTGTTAATTTCTGAGGTTAAGATAATTGAAAATAACAACAAAAATATGCTGGATCAATCACTTGGTGGACCGATCCATCTACCTCCAAGCCCATCAAAGTTTTTTTGTGAAACCTAGAAGAGCTGAAACAAAAAATAGCATTTGGACCTCATGGTAATGGGCCTTGGCTCCAATTGTTTGCTACAATACACTTCTTGATTGCAGTTACACCCCTTGTGTAGAATTTTTTTTAGTTTTTTTATCTTCTCTTTTCATAATTGTTAGATAATAATTTTTGTTAATCGGAAATAGTAAAAAATAAGAATAATAAAACAATAAAAATTGTTGATTGTTTCTTAAGAAAATAATAGAATTTTTCTAAGATTTCTTTTTTTTAGAATTTTGGTTAGAAGTTTCTATTATGGGTTATATTCGGTAATTATTTTGTTTCCATGATTTTGTGATTCACCTTTGCTTTTTGAGTTGAGTCTTATGCAGGTTCATAATCTGATAGGAGGACATGTTTGAGTTTTTGATTGTGATTTATTTTCACATCGATGGTGCTTCTATGCCTATTCCAAATATTTGATCTCTGACTATTTGTTTGTTGATGCCAGCTCGCGTGAAGTATTCTGGGTTTCTTTGCTTTAGTTGCGCTTTTATGCGGACATTATGGTTCGTTTGGTATTATACTGCTTCTAATTTATCTTTCGGATTTTATTGCTTTTTAGATATCATGAGAAGTAGGAAATAAAGAGCATGTGCTCGAAGTATCTGTTTAAAGTTCTGTAGCAGGCACCATTTTATGTATGCTATTTGTTTTTGTTTAAAATCCTACCTGAAGTAGGTATTATACATGTGTGTTTATATTTGTGCCTGCATTATATTACAAGTGATAAGTCCTCAAGAGGAGGTAAGCAGGGAGGGTCCGTAATCAACCCCCACACATTCTAGTCTGTGTCATCCTTAGCTCATGTTGTACGTCGATGCTTCAGAGTCGTGCAGATCTTGTGTATCGAGTCTGTCAAGTTGGGAAGGGTTTTGCAATCAAACCCACATGCTTTATCAGGAGTTCGCATTGGCCAATGTTAATACTCCATGATTTTTCATATTATCTTCTATCGCCTACCTCGATCTTCTATATCTTGGTTAGGTGTTCAGTCGCTTTGAACGTCACATATTTTTTATTTCATCTGTCTCCCGCTTGTTTGCTTCGGGTGTTCCAATCCCTTTAGCTAAAGCACTTTCTCTACATACATACATCCCCTGAGTCAGTATACCCTGATTGTGTGCTTTTGCCAAAGCACTTGTTTGCTCACTTGTTTGGTATTTACCATGCCCCTTAGGACCACTCGTTTAGGATAGTCCTCGAGCTAGACATTAGGATAATTATCCATGTATGCTCACTTAGGTAGATTTTCCTCTTTCATCCTTGACATAGGGAATCATTGTATGATTACACTAGGGATAGAGATTAGGATAGTCTCCCTTAGTTGTTTTCTTTTCTTTGCATATTGCATCTTAAAACGAAAACCTTATTTTTCTTGGAAAATCATAAAACCTCTCTAATGAATTTAAATCCTTCTTCAAGGTAAAAAATACAAACCAATCTTAATTGTTTGTGTGCCTTTTGGCTTTGTTTTAAACCTTATCAAATTGATGTTTTGCCATACTTACCATGATATTTTATTATATTTTTGCCGATGTTTCACCATCGCATATGTTTGTTATCCTACTTTGATTCTCAATATCATTGTTAGGTGTGATGTTTTATCATCTTGTTGTTCTTAACATGTTATCTTGCTACCTTTTAGCCGATATTTCGCCATCACATATGTTTTTGTCGATGTTTCACCATCGCATATGTTTTTTATCCTAATTTGATTCTCAATATCATTGTTAGGTATGATGTTTTATCATCTTGCTATTCTTACCATGTTATCTTGCTATCTTTTAGCCGATGTTTCGCCATTGCATATGTTTTTTGTCGATGTTTCGCCCTCACATATGTTTGTTATCCTACTTTGATTCTCAATATCATTGTTAGGTGTGATGTTTTATCATCTAAATTGTTGATGTCTCGCCATCTTTTCCATGCTATCTTTCTATCTTTTTGCCAATGTTTCGCCATCGCATATGTTTTTCGCTGATGTTTCGCCATCGCATATGTTTGTTATCCTACTTTGATTCTCGATATCATTGTTTGGTGTGATGTTTTATCATCCGAATTGTTGATGTCTCACCATCTTTGTCGAGCTATCTTGCTATATTTTTGCCGCTGTTTCGCCATTGCATATGTTTTTTGCCGATGTTTCTCCATAGCATATGTTTGTTATCCTACTTTGATTCTCGATATCATTGTTAGGTGTGATGTTTTATCATCCAAATTATTGATGTCTCGCCATCTTTTCCATGCTATCTTACTATCTTTTTGTCGATGTTTCTCCATCGCATATGTTTGTTTCCTATGTTTCACCATCGTATATGTTCGTTATCCTACTTTGATTTTCGATATCATTGTTAGGTGTAATTTTTTATCATCTTGTATGATATTTTGCTATCATGCTGATGATTTATCATCTTATCTGGGTTTGTGTTGCCATTGTTGTTACTTGTTTGTTGTTTTATCATCATTATTGATGTTTTGTCGTTTTATCTGATGTTTTGCCATCTTCACTGTTGCTTTTGTCTTCTTAACTAAAAAACAAAAACCAACCAAAATATATGAGCCGAACTACGGCTTCTCTGATTCCTTAAAAGGGATACATAGGCATTGGGGTAGGACCCGAATGAGCATAACTTTTATTTTCCCTACATTATTTTCTCCTTTCTTTTGCATGCATTCCCTCTTTACATTTTCTTTTAGCTCTTAAGCTTTAGATATAGATTTATACACCCATAAGATAGATAACAATAGTGGATCACGTAGAATACTATGGGTGTGTGGGGTGCTAATACCATCCCCTCGCGTAACAGACTCCCTTACCCGATCTCCCGGTCGTTTGACCGTGATTTCTCCCTTCTCAGGTTTTCTCAATTTCTACCTTTCCCTTCCGGCGGGATAAAAGATGTTCGGTGGTGACTTCATTGATTTTATATCAGATGGTGGTTCGACCGGTTGTTTCAGCTGGCGACTTCACTGGGGAATAGATCGACCTATTGTTGGTCCATCCTGCAGTCGATCCTAACTCTTGTTTGTTTTCTTCTTTGGGTGTTTATTTATTTTCAGTTATTTACAGCTTTATATACACTGCTTGCATATGTTTGTGCATGCATTTTGTTGCTTTCCATATACTGTTGTTAGGATGGATGTGTGTTATTAGATGGGTGGGTGTTACAAGAGGTAAAAGGCCCAGTACCCAGGCCAAAGTGTATGCCATTAGGAACACTAGGAATAGAGTGGAGATTCATGACAGCTGATAGGCGGATGCTCTATAGAGTCCGATCATGAGATCCACGGTCAGAGTAGGGTTTAATGGTGGTGCTATCATTATCACGTATGTTGTATAATGATAGTACTTTCAAGTGAACCTGCGACTATGATTCTCCCTTGCCTTACCTTGACCTATACTACACCCGTGAGTGGGGAGGGTTTGGTTCTTACATGTACCGATGGTGACTTTTGGGTTCTGTTGGTGGTTTTTTTCATGTTGGTGACTATGTGTTCTCCTGGTTTTGTTTTGGACTTCTCACCTTGTAATGGCCATTTATTTCGGCAGTTCAGCATTTATCCAGTGTTCTAGAGACCTTGATCCTATGCAGTTACTGATCTATATGGTATTTGGTTCTTGTATGTCGAACTATTGATCCCGTGTCATTCAGATGGTTATAGATAGTGCATCACTAATCTATTGTGATGAGAACCTTGATCCCATGTCTTTGCATACATAATATGTTAACACCATTATAACACACATGTTCTTTCCATTTCTAAGGAACCTTGATTGTGAGCTTTGTGTTGCGCTTCTCCACCTTTTACTAGGTTTAAAATCAAAATTAAAAGCATGTGAGTTCCTTGAAAATGATTTAACATGGAATTTCATCCACTCATACACCTCATGCATCTCTGTGCATTCATAACAGGTACTCAGAGTTGGAGATTCTTATTTAAGACCTGGTAATCTCTTTAGAATTGCAGACATGACTTTTCACCACTACATGATTCAGAAATCGGTGTTGAAACAATTTCTTGGGGGATTGACTAAGACGAAGATTCAGATGGGGTTATTTGTGGTATACATGCAAGCTTTGGCCCGTGATCGGAAACTCTTCGAGAAGGAAGATAATCGACTGAAGACCCAGTTGGTTCAGGTCATAGAAGTCTTGATGATAGTATCAACAATCTTATACCGACTGTTGTGACGCAAGTTATTCTCTTCTCATCATCTTTTGGGATTTCTTTCAAACCATGGAGTGCCTTGTGGATTTCATCCACTACCTTGAGTGCTTGGAACGTTTTATCAGCAGGTGGTTCCATTTACCAGTTAAATTCAAGAGATATATTTTATCGGCAAGAATGGAAGTAGGTCTGGAGGATGGTTTTGATCCCATCTCAGTGGTTTATTCTCAGTTGTTTCCACGCTTCTTTGAGCTTCAGTGGGTTAGGCTCTGTACTTCAGTACCATCTACAAATCTTCTTCCAAATCTTGTTATCAACGTCATATATAGTTACCACATAGGGGTACCCGATTATTCACTCAAGGGCACTCTCCACATCTTTGTGTTCCCTGATCTTCTCGTCAGCAGTCAATGCTTATTCCCGAAGTGAATGCATAGGGAAAAGTTATTAAGCAAAGATAGAAAAGCCTGAGAAGTATGTTGATACCCTCTCAATTCCATAGTGGTTATTTCCTCACGAAATCTTGAGGT